GATGATGCTGGATGTAATTACCAGCGAAACGTCGTACTCAAAAATTGTAAATCTTGTACTTTCACGCTCCTATCGTGGTTGTCTTTCGTCGTTTGCTGTTGTAACTTTGTGAGGCCGTGCCCCCTTACGACTGGACACGTGTGTGGGGAAAAAAAGCTTCATAGCTCATCGGATTTCTCGGCGATAAATAAAGATTCTGATTCCGAGGTAGGACGGAGGAGCACGCGGATGAGAGAACATAGGCCGGTCAGGCACGCCGCAGTTGCGCGCTCGTGGCAGGACACGTCGCTCAGAGGGGCAGATGACCAATGAGCGAGACTGGTCGCGGAATGGCAGTCAAACGACGGAAAGAATAAACTATTCTTTTAACTACTTTTTAACAAAAATATCCAGGTAAGACCCACTGAGCTATGTAGCTGTTTTCAGAACTATATTTATAATTTTCAGAGGTGGCCACAAATGACAGCTCAACAAAGCGCCTTATCATCATGCGAAAATGTATATAGCAGCCAAAATACTCTAAACGCGTGTTTTATTTTTTAACTACAAAAGTGAAGGCAAAATAACCAGAATATTCTAGATTTGAAGCTTTCGTGACTGCAAGGATTCATACTCTTAGTTGTTTTCGGTAAAGTCACGTAGGTAAAAAATAAAAAATAATAGAAATAATAATAGAAATAAAATAATAAATCACGACGTTTCGGAGGCAACACAAGTCTCCGTCATCAGGTGGGACCGTCACAGCTAAATTTACTGTATGAAGCGAGGAAAATTCAAGAGACAAGACCCAGAGAAAAAAGAGAGAGAGACACGCGCACTCCAAATATACAGCAGCAGCAGCAGGCGTCGGGCTTGGGGATGGAACCCACGACCTCCTGTGCACCTGGCGAGGTAGTCAACATCTCGCCACGGCAGTGCCGAAGGCACCCGCGAGGGGGCGACCACCGCGGAGACGGAACAGCGAGACCAGCTGGTGCCAGCAAGCGAGATGTCATGTGTATGTCACACACGCGGCATGTGTATGTCACACACAGATCATGTGTATGTCACACACAGATCATGTGTATGTCACACACAGATCATGTGTATGTCACACACGCGGCATGTGTATGTCACACACAGATCATGTGTATGTCACACACAGATCATGTGTATGTCACACACGCGGCATGTGTATGTCACACACAGATCATGTGTATGTCACACACAGATCATGTGTATGTCACACACGCGTGATGTGTATGTCACACACAGATCATGTGTATGTCACACACAGATCATGTGTATGTCACACACAGATCATGTGTATGTCACACACGCGGCATGTGTATGTCACACACAGATCATGTGTATGTCACACACAGATCATGTGTATGTCACACACGCGGCATGTGTATGTCACACACATATCATATGTATGTCACACACAGATCATGTGTATGTCACACACAGATCATGTGTATGTCACACATAGATCATGTGTATGTCACACATAGATCATGTGTATGTCACACACACACACACATAGCCAGGCATTGAGCGACAAAAACGATGCATGGAGGGGGGGGGGAGAGATTGGTCTTCATCTAACGGTTGATAGAACATGGTGTTATGATCATCGTTGCTATACGGTATGTATTTTCAGGCCCGTCCACAGGAGGGTGCGGAGCCCGGGGAGAAATTCCACTGTGTCACCTCCTCCCTCCCGCCCCCTACGCTTTCAAATAAAACTGGAAGTATTACATCCGACGCTGCGACGTCCCCCAAAGCGTGGGGGCCCGGGGCGGTCGACCCGATTCGCCGTAGCCGAGACACGGCTCTGTATAACCCCTTTGTCTATCTCTGTTAAAGCACGCAAATAACAACGAAGAATCGAACAAAAAACACTCTATACTGGCATGTACACAAATATTACATCATAATTATGAACACGTACGAGTCTGTCTCTGTATTATACAATCAACATTCATCTGTGCCTCGAGTTGCCTGGCTGGCTGCTGGCTAGGCTCCTCACCACCACAAACAGTACTTCTGTTGTTGTTATTGTTGTTAGCGACTGCTGCAGGCCGTTGCCACCGATTCTAGCTGGGTAACTGGCTACACGGGATTTCCCGTGTAACAAATAAACATTGAATTGCGTTGATAAGGTGGAAGAAGATTTTCGGAAGAAATTTAATGATAATACCAATCATAGATCGCGACACCGAAGAGGTGGAAGTAGCGAATTACAGGAACACGGCTCCTTTAAAATTACTCGAACTTTTAAATTTGTGCTCCTATCAATGTAACTGTCATTCTGTCGCCAGAATATTCTTTGGATCTTAAGAGAATATTTTTTTTAAAACCTCACAGTACATATTATCTGAGCATTGTATTATTACATTTTTTTGAAAGCTGAAAACTTTTAGTGCTCGGAGTACAGGAGGATTGTGAGCAGAGCTTGCTGCATGACAGCTGTCCTGCTTTTGACGTGGCAGAGTGGCGGATTGTCGAATGATATAAATTGTAATTAAACGACTCTGCAAGTCCATCGACCTATGAACCATACGGGGCAACTATTCCCTGGGGGCTGTTGTCTGAAGCAGATGTCTCGGTGCAGATTTCCACGTTTCGAGTCTCATCAGCAGGGTGCGGCCCGACACACAGATGCCGCTTGCTTGTCTGACGTTTGAGGCAGGAGTGCTAGCCACCCGGAGGAAAGTGCAGCGGTACGGTCAATCCACTGCCGGGCGAGGCACCGTCCAGTACATTTGCCAAATCAGATATTAAGTTGATAATTGTTTTTTTTTACCCTTCTATCTGGCAACAAAACTGACACCTTTTTTACAAGGAGTCATGTTTGCATAGACCACAATACCTGCAGTCATAATGCAAATAAAAACATAACTCTGATAATGTGCACAGTCCTTGAAGTTGACAGTGCACATTATCAGAGTTATGTTTTTGTTTGCATTATGACTGCAGGTATTGTGGTCTATGCAAACATGACTCCTTGTAAAAAAAAGGTGTCAGTTTTGTTGCCAGATAGAAGGGTAAAAAACCAATTATCATATTATTTACTGGCAAATGAGGTTCCAATGAGATATTAAATTTATCAGCAGTTTACAAACGACACGTGACAATCGCGTGTTCGATACAAAGCCAAAATCACACGACACGAACAATACTCTCGAAACCTACAAGCAGTAACGACACCACCGGCACTTACAATATCACCAACAACACCACCAACAACACCCACATCACCTACAGCCTAACCACCAACAGCAACACCACTGATCAACGTAAGCGCGACCGCCAATAGCAACAACATATTTATAATCGCACCACCACAACTTTAAACTCAACCACCAACAGCGCCACCACCAATACAAACGTCTCGGCCACCACCACCAACACCTACAATACACTACAATACACAATACCTACAATACACTACAATACACAATACCTACAATACCTACAATACCTACAATACACTACAATACACTACAATACACTACAATACACTACACTATAACCAATACCATTTCCCCTGCAGCAGCAGTAACACCACCACCACACAAGGACAAAGACCCCCCCGTATAGCCTCGAACGACTGTTGGGGCAAGTGCTTTTAGCGAGAACCTTACATACCACCTACATACAGTACCACCAACACCCACACATACAATACTACTATCAACAACACATACACCACCACGAGCACTCACTACCAACACCACCACCATCATCAACAACAACAACAGCAGCAATTGGCGTAACAATGATAGCACCACCAACATTAATACCATCATCACCACCATCAAATGAACAGCACCACCACCACCACTTACAATTCTGACTGAACAAGACAACCACAAACACCACCAGCAACACCTACGATGCCACAACCATCACCCAGCAGTAGCAAGGCAACCACCACCACCACCAACAACAGCAGCAGCAAAAGCACACCGAGACGCGTGCGCTGTGTCTGCTGTGTCCGCTGCTGCTGCTGTACCCGAGGAACGCCGCGCATCGAAGTCTTTGGAGCGGCCCGCGATCTCACTCCCTCCTGTGGGGTGAGGGCGCAGGGTGGGGGGGCGGGGTGGGGGGCACGAGAGAGCGAGTGTGGGTGGCTGGGAGAGGGGCACGAGAGAGCGAGTGTGGGTGGCTGGGAGAGGGGCACGAGAGAGCGAGTGTGGGTGGCTGGGAGAGGGGCACGAGAGAGCGAGTGTGGATGGGTGGGTGGGACGGATGGGGAAGAGAGAGAGGGAGGAGACGGGGAGGGGAGGGAGGAAATGATTGACGGATGAGAGTGGGAGAGAGAGAGGGAGGGAGGAGGAAGGAGGGAGGGAGTGACAGAGTGTGGAAGGGAGACAGGAATGGGGGGGGGGTGGATATCGAGGGGTGGTGAGTGATGGAGCGAGGAAGGGGGAGAGGGAGTGACGGAGTATGAGAGTGAGGGAGAGAGAGAGAGAGAGTCCGACGCGTGAGACGACACGGGGAGGAGCCGGGAAGATGAAGAAGGAGGAGGAGGAGGTTGTTAGTGTGGAGTTACGGCTGGGATGATGCAGGGGAGGAAAGGGGGGTGTGCAGTGTTTGGTGTTGACGGACAGACTGTTAGCTACAGCAGCAAAGGGGGGGGGAGGTGCATAGGTGGCGTGGGTAGCCGGGTGGGTGGGAGTGTGAGTGGGTAGGTGGTGCTGGTGGTGGTAGGAGGAGGAGAGAGGCGGTTTCCACTTCGGCGTATAAACCGCGATCATTGCGCAGCGAGGTTGAGTGAGCGGAGTTCGTTCAGGAGCTGCTCGCGCGAGACCCGAGGGGTGGTCTCCCTCCGCTCAGCGTTGCGCAAACTTTGAATTCGCGTCGTCTCGCTGTCCCACACGCGCGCGAAGGGTTCCCCCCAGCAGAGGCCACGCAGGCTTGTCGATTTGGTGAGCGAGTGCGGTGCGGTTTAGTGAGCACCGCGCACAGACGGAGGAAGAACGCCGGAGCACCCCCCACTCCACCCTCCGGCCCCGCACAGCTCAACACACGCTCTGCGTCAAAGGAACAGGTGCTGCTCGCCAGCGTGAGCCGCACGACACCGTCCCCACGCTCGCGAACAACGCGCGCGCGCACGTGCAGACGACAGCGCGCGCGCGCGCGCACACAGCATGTCCATGCTGCCCACGTTCGGTTTCACGCAGGAGCAGGTGGCGTGCGTGTGCGAGGTGTTGCAGCAGGGAGGCAACATCGAGCGCCTGGGCCGCTTCCTGTGGTCGCTGCCCGCGTGCGAGCACCTGCACAAGAACGAGAGCGTGCTCAAGGCGAAGGCCGTGGTGGCCTTCCACCGGGGCAACTTCCGCGAGCTCTACAAGACGCTGGAGAGTCACCAGTTCTCGCCGCACAACCACCCCAAGCTGCAGCAGCTGTGGCTCAAGGCGCACTACATGGAGGCTGAGAAGCTGCGCGGGAGGCCCCTGGGAGCCGTGGGCAAGTACCGGGTGCGGCGCAAGTTCCCGCTGCCGAGGACCATCTGGGACGGCGAGGAGACGAGCTACTGCTTCAAGGAGAAGTCGCGGAGCATCCTGCGCGAGTGGTACACGCACAACCCGTACCCGTCCCCGCGCGAGAAGCGCGAGTTGGCCGAGGCGACGGGGTTGACCACGACGCAAGTCAGCAACTGGTTCAAGAACCGGCGACAGCGCGACCGCGCCGCGGAGGCCAAGGAGCGATACGGGTGAGGGCGGGTGGTCACGGTGGTCACGGTGGGGTGGTGGTGGTAGTCGCAGTGGCGGTGCGTCAAAGTAGTGGGTGATGGTGATAGCTGGTGGCAGGTGGTGGTGGTCACAGTGGTGGATGATAATGCTAATAGTTGTGGTGGTTGGTAGTCACAGTCGTGGTGGTGTTGGCTATGACCGTTGTGGTGGTGGTGGTGTTGGTGTTGGTGACAATGACAGTGATGGTGCAGGTGGTGGTGATATAATGATGACAGTGGTGGTGACAACGTTGGCAGTAGTGGCGGTGGTGCTGACAATGGCATTGGTGATGATGATGATAGTGGCGATGATAATGACAGTGGTGGTGGTGGTGGTTGTGGTGGTGGTAGAAACCACAATAATAATGCCCTCATAGCATTTTTTTCCAGGGAATCCTGCGTTGAACCGATTGGCCAATTTAAGTATTGGGTGCTTGGCTTCGTGTAGAACGGCACAAATGATTTGCCGGTGGCAACGACGCTCGAAACTCCGCACGGATGAATTCAAGAATCCATGCCTCGGTGGTAGTTGAACACAGTATTGAAACTTGACATTGCCGATGTGTGCGCGTTCTTGAATATGGAGGTAGCGGTAGTGGTCGCGGCTAGGGCGCTGCGCTACGAACCCGGCGACTCGAGCTCGATTCCTGCTCCCGGCTAACACCGGTGACGATTATCTGATCCGCTCCTTGGCCTCCCCTTGGTCGACTCAGCCTCAAATGAGTACCTGGTGTGGTGTGAAAAAACATTGCCACTCGGCGGCCGGGCGTGGTGCTGGCCACCCACCCCCTCGTGTGCTGTTCCGGCTTCATAGGTGCTCGCTAATAGCACTTGCCCCTACAGTCTGTTACAGGCTACACGGGGGCGGCGGGGGTCCTTGTCTTTGCGTGTGCATATCTGATTGTGTCCATATTCGTGTGTATGTCTGGGTGTGTGTTTGTCTTCATGTGCGTGTGTTTACATATAAGCGTTGTGTGTCTGCGTGACTGTGTGTGTGTCCATCCGTTGGTTTGTCCAAGTCCTGTAACAACGTCTGCTCGTACAAAAATAACCGAATAGTGTTAAATATACGTATAATTCCCAAGTTGACTTGAAAATTAAATTACCTGGTTGATTATTGTCAATTTAAAAGCATTTAAAGAGACAAACTGAAAATAGCATCGCAACGCGGCGGCGTGAATTCCACACGAATGAAAACGTGAGTCGCTCCGCAGATGCTGACTCTTCTCAATTAGAATCGATTTCATGTATTCCTCCACGACAGCCAAAAGGTACGTGGCGGATATAATCTAGCTTTAAAAAATGACAACAACACGTTTTAATATTCCTAGCGAATCGTTTGAAGTAGCTTTAAACCGACTGTATGAATAAAACATATATTTTCATGCATCGAAGTTACGTGCGTGTGTTAATGTTAATGCGAACACATTACGCGCAATAGCCTGTTACGGCTATACGGGGGGTCTTTGTGTGTCTAATTGTGTTTATATTTGTGCGTGTGTGTCTTTGCGTAATCTGTCTTTGTGAAGAACACACACAACGCACTCGTAAATAAAACGCAGCCTGGCTCTACACGTGGATGATTGAAAGAGCTCGGTTTAGCAATAACCTCGATAGCTGCGTGCAAAATACAGCGCGTGGCGAGGCCAAGATAAACTACAAAGATCCCCCGTGTAGCCTTAACAGACTGTAGGGGCAAGTGCTGTTAGCGAGCACCTAGGAAGGCCGGAACGGTACACGAGAGGGTGGGTGGGCCAGCACCACGCCCGACCGCCTTTGTCTCCCCAGTAGCGATGTTTACACACAGCACCAGGTACTCATTTGAGGCTGAGTCGACCGAGGGGAGGCCCAGGTCCGGTTCAGATAATCGTCACTGGTGTTGGCCGTGAGCGGGGATCGAACACGGGTCGCCAGGTTCATAGCGCAGCGCGCTAACCACTACACCACCGCTCCGGATAATCTACACACACATATATACACACATATACACACACATACATACACACATACACACACATACATACACACATATACACACACTTATACATAGAAAGGCAGTGGTGTGTGTTGTGTGTGTGTGCGTACTGCGAATTTAACCAAGCTACATATGTATATATTATACCGATATATTTTTTATATGCTTTGAGATTAATGTTATCTAGATACAATTATATATGTATGTTGAACTTCTTTCGCACCGTACGTAACCAACCGTGCTAATCATAACAGCAACAGACACGTACTGCTATGCGAGTGAATACACCAGTCATACTAAAATCATTGTATTCATTAATACATTATATTATGCTATACATGATACACGATCATAAACAATCGTGAATCGTATATGATGTATGTTTACATTACAGAATTTATACAGTGACGTGAGCGCATCATTATTATATCGTATAAGCGTGTGTATAAGTATACCAGTAGCAATATGAACTATTATTCTAAGCGTGCGTCTAATTTTTCCTATATCGATATGTGTACACACGCGTATATGTATCGGCTACACATGTCTGTATGTATGCGTGTTGAACTTTTTTCGCACCGTACGTAACCGACCGTGCTTAATCGGCGGTGCGGCACCCGTGCAGAAATTCCATGAACCCCAATTCCCTGCGTTCGATTCCCGGCCGCGGCTAACATCAGTGGCGACTGATCCCTGAACCGGTCCTGGGCACGCTTTCTTCACCAACCTGTGTTGACCAGCGTGGTGAAGTATGATTAAAATAAACAAAAACCTCCCCGTGACCAACAGGGAATGGGGGAGGCATTCATCCGACAGTGGATTAACCGAGGATTGAAACTGCGTAATACGTTGCATACGTTACATGCCCGTCAATACACGCGTGTGTAATGTACATATGTAAACGTGTGATGTGCTATATGTGTACATCTGAGATTTATGGGTAATATTTTTCTCCGGGCAAGCTTAACACTTGCACAGGCTTCCCTCGCTTTATGCGGGTTCGGTTTGTGCGATTTCGTGGAGATGGGGCGAACCTATTTCTACTCAAAATTCGCTATATGCGGTTTTAATTCACTCATATGCGGCGATGCCGACGGACGTGGGACAACATCGTGTGTGGTGTATGTGTACTGTGTGTACTGTGTGTAGTGTGTATATGGTGTGTGTACTGTGTATACTGTGTGTACTGTGTGTGTACTGTGTGTGTGTACTGTGTGTACTGTGTGTGTACTGTATATACTGTATATACTGTGTGTATTGTGTGTGTACTGTGTGTAGGGTGTATATGGTGTGTGTACTGTGTATACTGTGTTTATTTTGTGTGTACTGTGTACTGTGTGTACTGTGTGTGTACTGTATGTGTGTACTGTGTGTGTACTGTGTGTGTACTGTATATACGGTATATACTGTGTGTATTGTGTGTGTACTGTGTGTGTACTGTGTGTGTAGTGTGTATGCTGTGTGTACTGTGTGTGCCCTGTGTGTATCCTGTGTATACTGTGTATTCTGTGTGTAATGTGTATAATGTGTGTACTGTGTGTGTAGTGTGTACTGTGTGTGTACTGTGTGCGTAGTGTGTGTACTGTGTATACTGTGTGTGTACTGTGTGTATTCTGTGTGTACTGTGTACTGTGTGTAGTGTGTGCGTACTGTGTATACTGTGTGTGTACTGTGTATACTGTGTGTGTACTGTGTGTGTACTGTATGTGTACTGTGTGTGTACTGTGTGTGTACTGTGTGTACTGTGCGTGTAGTGTGTACTGTGTATACTGTGTGTAGTGTGTACTGTGTGTGTACTGTGTGTGTGTACTGTGTACTGTGTGTGTACTGTGTGTGTACTATGTGTGTACTGTGTACTGTGTGTGTACTGTGTATGTGTACTGTGTGTGTGTACTGTGTGTACTGTGTGTGTACTGTGTGTGTACTGTGTGTACTGTGTGTGTACTATGTGTGTACTGTGTGTACTGTGTGTGTGTACTGTGTGTGTACTGTGTGTGTGTGTACTGTGTGTGTACTGTGTGTGTGTACTGTGTGTGTGCTGTGTGTGTACTGTGTGTGTACTGTGTACTGTGTGTGTGTGTGTACTGTGTGTGTACTGTGTGTGTGTACTGTGTGTGTACTGTGTGTGTACTATGTGTGTACTGTGTACTGTGTGTGTACTGTGTATGTGTACTGTGTGTGTGTACTGTGTGTACTGTGTGTGTACTGTGTGTGTTACTGTGTGTACTGTGTGTGTACTATGTGTGTACTGTGTGTACTGTGTGTGTGTGTACTGTGTGTGTACTGTGTGTGTGTACTGTGTGTGTAATGTGTGTGTGTACTGTGTGTGTGTACTGTGTGTACTGTGTGTGTGTACTGTGTGTGTGTACTGTGTGTGTACTGTGTGTGTGTACTGTGTGTGTGTGTACGGTGTGTGTAGTGTGTACTGTGTGCGCTACTCGGCAGGCAGCTGTCTTCTCGCGCGGTGCATTGTGGGTTGGGTGACCGTGCGTGAGGTCCACGCTGCGCGGTTTCACTTTTTTATTTTGGAACGCATCTACTACCACCACTACGACTACCGCGTGAAGCGAGGGCAACCCAGTTTATTTACAATTACATTTTGAGAAAATATCTCGAGATGTCGCAGTGAATAACCTCGGTGAAGGCGTGTTCTCCTTTGCCTAACCCCCCTTCTAATGCCCTTGATGAATGCCATGTTTTATAGAGGCTCGTCTCATTTATAATACGTAATATAGTTCATCAAACTAGTGTGCATCTTTGTTAAACAAATGATATCTGGTGATGATGCTGCTGCTGCTTTGGCAGATATGCACAAGTACAATTAACAGAAACACAAATCTCAGCACATTCGTCAATAACAGTGTCTCCAAAATAATAATAAATATAACAGGCGACGTTTCGGACAATGGCTCTTCCCCATATGACATGACATATCTTTGTTCTTTTGAGTCATGCGGGTCTCTATCCAATGTGATGTACGTGTGCAATGTCTACTGAACAGCTGTGA